CTTTTTCTTTTCCTTTTTCTTTTCCTTTTTCTTTTCCTTTTTTGTTTTTTGAGTGATCTTGTGCTATAATGGGCTTTTCTTATTTCTGAACAACATTTGGAATGTGGGGCTAGCACAGGTTAAATTGAGAGATTTGTTGGTCTCTTCTTGATACAGCACACAGGCTGTCTGGGGGGAGCTACTATGGAGAACTGTCACTGAAGTCTTTCTCTGCCTGATTCAGGCTGAAAATGAATCTAGTTCCAGCAAAGACATTATTCAACCAAAATGAGACTTCTGGCATGTAAACCTTCTTTATGGGAGCATTTGTTTCATCTTGGAACCTTTGGAGAGAGGGATGGTTTCAGTTTTGGGCTCCCTGTAACCCAAAGGTGCTTAATCTGCCTGTATATGGGCTCTAAAGTTGCAATACTGTTTATCACCATGCAATTAATGTTTTCACAAAGAAACCTTAATAATTATTAGTATTTATCTATGTGGCTTTATCTTTAAAGTGTTGTTAATCTTTAAAGTGTTGTTATCTTTAAAGTGTTAGTAAATACTGCTGTGGTTTGTTTGTTGTATTAAAATGGAAACCCCTTTTCCCTTGGTGGCTGAAGTGATTCACTAATATTGACAATTGTTCCTTGCATAGTTGTGGTGCCTTTTGTGTAAGGTTTTCCAAGTGTTCTACAGATATTATTATCTTTGTAAGTTCCAAAATACATTGGTGAGGTAAGCAAGGATATAAATTATTTTATTCACAGACCACTGAAACACAGCAGCTCTTCATCAATTCATGTCAACAGAAAAGAGTAAATTTGGACATTTAGGTTTAGAAATTATGGGGCACTAAACTAATTTATGGCAGGATGAATGGAATGGAAGTTTATGAATGAATCCATAAACTAATGGATGGCAGGAGGAAGATAGATATAATATAAAGATGTGAAATAGAAATGAGACAGAGTAACGCAACACATTTTTTTCTGAGTTGGGTTTTAGGGTTTCTTTTCCTTTTAAATCTCCAAAAAGAATAAGCTCCACTAGCATACTGATTTCAGATGTTCTTTTCTGCACATTCAGCGCCAGAAGCTCAGCCTGCTGTCCCCTCTACATTTATGCAGGTCTGTTAGCCTAGTGACCTGCCATTAGCTGCGAGTACAACGGGTGTGCAACCAAGCAAAAGGCCACACCCATGAGTCAGTGAAAAATATAGGACATTTTCCTTCTATTTCACTAATATCAAGCTGTCACTGTTGATCTCATTTCAGAGAGATGAGACATACTCTTTCAAGGAGCAAAAAAAAAGCTAAAACTTTATTTTTTACATCCCTTTATACAGAGTTTTAAAAACCCTCTCATGTCTATCTCCTATTGGTTGGTAACAAGCTCGTACCCTGTAGTAATTGATCAGTCTTGGACAAGGTGTCTACATTCAAGGAAGGGTTGTTTGTGAGAGATTGTTTTTGTTCTTTTACTGAGACAGTTGGGATTGTTGAAACAGGTGCAAGAAAACAGTCCTGATCTAGAGAACTCTTTTTCACTGTTTCACTGTTAGCTTTCCTACAACTGTGTGGAACCAAGATTAGGTACCTGACGCCTGATACAGCCCTGCTGCTTGCCACCTCATCAAGCCATTGTATGATAGGGATGAGCACAAGGAAAAGCCTGCAGGGTCTGGAGAGAAATGACATCCCAGCATAGACATAGTAGTGATGGGGTCTCAGAGGTTCCAAAATACATGGAGCTCTTAATTTAGATTATCACTGCAGTGCAGTGTGCAGGGACATCTATTCAGTAATGATACAAAAGGCAATATTGTTCCATTTGACTTGCACATTCTCTTCTCCTGGAATGAAACCATGGACTGTTGATTCACCCACCTTTGTTTAGCATAGAAGAGCTGAGAGAATTAGAGCATGAGATCAAATAGCTGCAGGTTATATTTAATGCTCTTTACAATGAAAATTTTCTGCCTCAGAGTCAGAGTTAATTGCAAGAATAATTCGCACTTCCTTTTCCAGCCAGTCCTAGTGACTACTGGAAAATCCACTAGGTAACCAAATCTGATGTCTCAGAAATTTCAGAATTGTAGTACAGAAAATGAGGTAGCACAAACCCCAGGCCATTTGTACTTCATTTGATACGAACACTAAACAGACATAAAATACAAGCCTTGCCTAGAGTCACTGGTGTTAGAATGGTAATGTTTGCTACAAGCCTAACAAAAAGTAATAAACAAGGATTTTTTTCCCAGCAACAGGATATTGTACTGCACACCTGGGACCAAATGGAGTTTTGCCTTCTCACAGCAGCTCTGGTTTTGGCCCCTGGGAATGTCATGAGAGTTTAATACTATTCTGAATTCCACTTTTTTTTTTTTACCTGACCTTTTATGCATTTGATAAAGCATATATAAATTCATGTAACTCCATGTGAGACTAATATTCTGCAACTGGAATGTTGCTTTACTAAAATATGCTTTTCCATATTATTTCAACAAAAACATACTACTCAGATAATATTGTTCTGCGTAATTCAAGATTTCTTTGATTTCTTCTCTATTCTACTCTTTTTACAATTAGTTTCTTATTTACACAATGACCACTTTGTTCTATTCCACTCAATTCATTAGACTATTATTATTTTGAGGTCTTTACAGATGAGATAGCATTCACAAAAAAAAAAGGAGAAAAAAAAGAAAAACAAATGGTGTGGCTTGGGAACAGGAAAACTTAATTTATTAATTTAGCATAATATAACAAGGTTTATTTCAAATATACAGTCATTACTGACAAAGTTCTGCTTAATGTCCATTAGGTCAGATCTCTCTGAAGGGAAGAGTATAAAAAGTAACATTAGGAACCAAAGGAACAAGACAGTACTTTTAATTAGTCAAACATGTCTTGGTGGCCCTGTTTTATTCCTAGATGTAAAACTGGCCCTTACACTGATCTGACATATTTCAGCTAAAAAAGTCAAAACTCTGTTGATGTGCTTATTATGGTGTGCAGTGGATTATGCGCATTATAAAAAGGAAAAAGTCTACACTGATGCCAATATTTGACATATTTTCTCTGTGTTTGACATCCCAGGCTTTTTGACTTATTCATACAATTTTCTGTTGTGATGAGCTACATTTTGAGTAGCTCATCATCAAAAATTTCTATGGCCATAACTCAATAAAGCATCTCACTCTATCAGAGAATATAAAGGGAAAGCAATGTGACTTGTTCATGGCCTAAATCACTACAAATGATGATTTCTGGGAGTGAAAATCTCCTTAATTTTGCACATGAAAGGATATCAAAACACTATCAAGAGGCTGAAACTAGACAAATTCAAACTTCAAGCTGAAAATTTTCAAGACTGAGGATAATTATTTCAGAAACAAATTGTGGAGATGGTTCCTTCATCATTTGAGTTTAAAAGAAAGAAAACAATTACTTTTCATTCTGAAAGATGTGTAGCAGCTGAAACATTGTGTGTTTGATGCAGGAATTACTGGATGAAATTATATGACATACAGGAACTAACATTATGTAATCATAATAGTCCCTTTGATCTTGAAATATATGAATCAATACACTTTTTGCTTCACCTTCTCTGACTTAGAGAGATGCTAACTCTCATGGGATCAATAACAGGACCATATGCCTAGCAACTGTGGCAAGATGTAATCTGAGACACATACCTATGTTGTCTCTAGATAATCCATTTTGCTCTCACAATGTTGAAAAGGCATTTTATCTGGACTAATGCTTTTATGTCCTGCTTTTAATGTCAAGTCAGTTGGTTCAGAACTGGCACCTGAGCTGCATAGTGCTGTACCTTACCAGCAACAAGGATCAGCAGAGTGATCTGGGATGTGCTGCTGGGGAACATAGCTAAGTGAGCAAGGAACACAGGACACAACTTTTTGCTATGGCAAAGGGCTTGGATGCACAGATGGAGCATGACCCTAACCTACTGTGCAGACCTGAAGCAGTCTGCTATTTTATACAGATTGCACAGGTATGTTCTTGTGTGGTATACACATGCATACACCCAGCATATGGATATAGGCTCTCATAATCCCCTTGGAAAAGTGATACCACAACCTCATGACATGCTTGCCTGGAATACGTTGCATAAGAGGCAGAAGAATTATTCTGCTTTCTGAACATTCCAAGAACAGTTTCTGCAGGTGGTGCCTTGGCCATGCTACTGCATCACACTCTACTCACTGGGACCAACTGATATAAAACTAAGTGTCTTTGAATCAAAATCAGTCTGTTCCTCAGGTGAATGTAGTTCATAAACCCTGTCCTGTCGCCTGTTCTTGAAAAATCAGATTTTGGTAGTGCCCTTAGGCACTCCTATGTGACAGTTAGTTTTGCCCATATTCTCCACTTGGACAGCATATTGTCACCACATGGCAGCATGGTACTATAAGGG